TGAGTATTGCTAGCATCCTCACAAACACTGTGGAAGGTGTGTGCTAGCTTAATATTTAATACCTGTTTTTATAATGGACTTCTGAAAATTTCAGTTGAAACTTAAAAACTGATTTAAAATAGCTTAATTAACAGATACTGTCCCACAAACTGACACATATTTATTAGTAAACTCAAAGCTCTTTATTCATTAAGGTTATTACACAAGTAAGCATTAAAGTTATTACACAAGTAAGCATTAAAGTTATTACCTAAGTAAGCATTTCTCTCTCATTGTTTTGCCACCACGTACCTTGTGTGGTCATCAGGACTACAGAGTTATGTTCGATGGTCATAACTGAGTGGACGCTTATACATATAAATTAAAAATATATTATTGGACACAAAAAGGCCACGGAACATTTTTCAAATATATGCAATTATTGTTAAAATCATATGTATTTTTAGCAGTTATATTTATTCAGTTACTCTTTAAAGAATTGCTATGCTAGGTGATAAAAATGTTTTTTTCTTGAACTAGGAATGAAAATTATATTCAAAATTTTTACCTAAACACAACAGATTTCGAAATAAAAATATTTGCATAACAGAACAGTAAGTGGGAGGAACAGGCTGAAGTGTAATCAAGGAACAATAAAAAATGTAATACAAATCAATGTATAAATTGATACTGATCAGAATAGTGACTGGAATTCAAAGAAGTTGTGCTTGATAGAGCAGCTTTGAACAAAATAAATATGTTTGATAACATTTTTTAAAGACTTTCTTGAAAAGCCCTGTAAAAAAGTATAAAGGGCATGCTTATACGAGGTTAATCTGTACCAGTTTAGATTGACAATTTGACTGGTGCAATTCATATAGGATTGAGGAATGTTAGAGCAACCGCATAGTTACCTCTATGAACTTTCTTTTCCCACAGAACTCGAAGAATCAAGACAGAAATGTCCGCCATGTTGGTATAAATTTGCAAATATTTTCTTGATCTGGGACTGCAGTCCGCATTGGTTAAAAGTAAAACATATCGTCAACTTAGTGGTAATGGACCCATTTGTTGACCTGGCTATTACCATTTGCATTGTTTTAAATACACTCTTTATGGCTATGGAACATTATCCAATGACCGATGAATTCAATAACGTACTTTCAGTCGGAAATCTGGTAAGCCTGTTGGGTTTTTATGTTCATGATTTGGAAGGAATTATGTCTGAAATAACCTTTTTTTTTTTTTTTTTTTTTTTTTACTCTTTAGAAAGTAGATTTATCGGACATTTATTGGCCTCCAGATATGACTCTGTCAGAACATTTTTGGAAATTTCACTGTCAGTCCTGGCTCATGTAACTTTGGATACTGTAAAATCAATATATTGCAGTGTTCTGCTAAGCCAAATTAAAAATTTAAAAAATGGCACCAGTGCTACATTAAGTAAAGTCCATCTTAAACAGAAGTTGATTTCTCTAACTACTAAACCAGGAAATGCATTACTTCCATGAAAAAGACACTATGCAAATAAACGTAGTGTTACTTTTTCAATCAATACAATACAAATCTTTAAATTATGAATGTGTTTTTAATTGCTCTGTTTCCTGAGCACAGGTTTACATGGCTAGAAGAGCCATTTAAAAGCATTTCTAGAATTTTCCTCTGTAAAAGACTTTTTATGTGGATATGTGGATTGTTTTCTTTATATACCTTATGTAAAACTATGAAAAATATCCTGCAGTAGTTTTTCCTCTGATAGTTTTTATAATTTTTATCATCAGATAATAAGATATCTTTTGCTCATGTTGTCAACTATATTTTTTCCCTTCTACTTCAAAAAGATAAATTATTAAAGAATTCAGGAGTTAATTTTTTGTAGCTCTGATGCTTTTGAACTGACAGGTTTGATCACATAGAAGTATCTGCAGCTGCAGTCCTACTTTGTCTCTTATTTTAAGAATTAATTTCATATAATGGGATTTTTAATAATCCTTGTTCTGTAATGAGGAAAAAAATATCTTGGACCATGTAAATAACTACAGGATTTAGAAGGGAGAATTAATAGATAAATGCATAGTTGGTTTTCGTATACTTAAAATAAGGGAAACTCTGAATCTGAGTTTCCCAGTAAAATGTAAAATCTTGTATTGTAGCATTTTATAGGTTTGTTTTCCAACCAAGAAAATGCCATAGAAACCTTGGTGTACATCTGACTTCAAAGGGAGTGCGAGAGAACCCAGCTATAAGCACCATGCTCTTCCAGTCTTAAGCTTCCTGACATAAACCCCTTCTGCAATTAGAGGCCCTCACGGTTCACCTGCCCCAGTAGTTCCACGTTAAAGCTCCTTGAGAACCTCACTGTCCTGATCGTTAGGAACCTAAGTCAGTGTTTCAAACTATTTATTCATTCCTACCTCTTCCTCAGTGGTTCCAATCCTGTAGCTTACAAAATAGTAACCTTTCCCTCTCCAGTGTTTATATCTGGAATGTATTTAAAGACTGTGGTAAAATCTATCCTGAGCATTGGCATTCCTAGGCAAAGCAAATCAGACTCTTCTTGTCCATCTCCTGATTATCCCAGTTAGATTATCCTCTTTAGCTGTCCCATTTTCTGTTCAGTTTGCTTGAAAATGGGTTATCAAAACCAAAAAAAGAAAGCATTTCAGATCAGGGCTCAGGCAGCCTTTAATGGTGGTTTTAGGACATTCCTATCCTACAGGAAATTCTTCTAAGACTTCTCTCAAAGCTACCCAGGGTCACTACCTTGGTAGTTCCTAAATATGATTCCTACCTCATTCAGAATGGCATCCCATGGTTGTGTTTAAAATGTGTTCTTAAATGCTCTTTCATTCCTGACATTAAAGTGATTGAGCCAATCAACTTCACTAAACTTACTGGCAACACCCAGGTAGAAGTTCCTCAGCTTCAGCAAAATGTTTTTATCTCTGTCTGGTGTAAATAACTGTATCTCTGTTGAACTGAATGGGATTATGGCAGGTTATACCAGCAAAGGAGCTGCCCCTCTGGAGTCTTAGATTTGGCCTCTTGCATTCTGCTGTATAATGTAATTAGTATACCAAGAAAGATGTTATACCATGTAATTTCTTGGAAAGCATTCTGGTTTATGTTGTGAAAATCGAATTTGGGGTATTGTTTGTGCAGTATATGAGAAAGTCCATATCCTGATAGAGTTGAAATTGGATTATAAATGTTACAAACCAGAAGTTTATGTAACTTGTTTAGTATAAAATTTAATTATTTGAAAAAATTACTTGGTTTGTATGGCACTTGTTAAGGGAAGGTGGGCATAATAAATCACTACAGTACACTGAACTATTTTCAAGTATCAGTTTTGGATAAGATATTGCAGATATGTAGCTTGAATTAAAAACCTAGACAACAGCTAGATCTGTAATATTATATTTCACAATGAAATAACAAACTGCATTTTGAATTCAGGTCTTCACTGGAATCTTCACAGCAGAAATGTTTCTCAAGATAATTGCAATGGATCCTTACTATTATTTCCAGGAAGGCTGGAATATTTTTGATGGTTTTATTGTTACCCTTAGCTTGGTTGAGCTTGGTCTTGCAGATGTGGAAGGACTCTCAGTTCTTCGATCATTCAGATTGGTAAATATACATCAATTGCACTGATTTTTCAATGGGGCTTCATTAATATAATATAATTTTTTGGCTTAAAAATTTGCTTGATATTGGCCACAATACTGATCCTGATGTCTCTTTCATTAGTACAGATTCTTATTACTTGTGATATCTTACTGTCTTCAATGGGAATTGATAGAGATCCAGACAAACAGATAGCAACGGGTGCCCTGGGCCTATTTCCAATGTATTTATTGTGTACACACACTTCAAACAGCCTGTTATGCAGAAACAAATCAACTCACTAGGTGTATTGTGCTCTGACTGGCATCACAGAAATAGATCTGCTCTACAAATACCAGTAGAAAAGTGGCCCAGATGATTTTAACAGATGAACTCTAGGTTTTAAATTCCATCTAATATGACTGGTAGGTTCTTTGGCCTTCAGTAAAAACTACTTGAGGATATCAAGCTTGAACTTCACAAAATTTTGTTGAATGAACCTTCCATCTCATGCTTTTAGACAAGAGGATTCCCTCTGAACAGTCATACTCAGGGTATATTTTGCAGTAATATCCTTCCGCAAATTAACTTTAAAATATCTTTGTGTCTTTCTTGCTGGTTGTCCTAACAATACTTTTCTTTTCTTCCAGTTACGAGTTTTCAAATTGGCAAAATCTTGGCCAACACTAAATATGCTGATAAAAATTATTGGTAACTCCGTGGGAGCTCTGGGTAATCTGACCCTGGTGCTGGCCATCATAGTGTTCATTTTTGCTGTGGTTGGGATGCAGCTGTTTGGGAAAAACTACAAGGAATGTGTCTGCAAAATCGCAAGTGACTGTGTACTTCCACGCTGGCACATGCAAGATTTTTTTCACTCTTTTTTGATCGTATTTCGAGTGTTGTGTGGAGAATGGATAGAAACGATGTGGGACTGCATGGAGGTTGCTGGCCAAGCCATGTGCCTTACTGTCTTCATGATGGTCATGGTGATTGGAAACCTAGTGGTATGTAATCAAAGCATTACCAAAAAAATATTTGGCAATGGAGTGGGCTCAATCTTGAAGCAATTAAGTGCTCTGGCTCTGCTTCAACAAAGCACTTAAGCAGGTGGTTTCAAGCAATGCTTAAAGTTAAGCTTAAGAGTTTTTTTGGATTGAGAACAAAGTATTCTGCAATATCAAAATCCTAAGAATGTTGGAGTGAGCACTTAGTCACATTCTTAATTTGTCTTTTGGCTCTTTGTAAATATTTTGTGCTGCAAATAATTTTAGTTTATGGGCTCTTTATAAACCATTTGCTGTGGATTTTTTAATTATTTATCCCATATGATTACTCACCTAAATAATCTAATTTCTGCTGTGTGATGGGATAAATTAAACTTTTTAATGATGCCAAATAGCAAATCTGCTCTCTCTGTTTTTAGATTATAAGACTTTGCACCAAAATATTTATATACTGTGGGGATTTAAAAACACATTTACAGATATTAGTCAGTTGTAGGAATATTTTTGAACAGTGAACAGGAGCTAAGCAAAATTTAAAAAGCTCAGTTTTTTAAGAAGAAGAGAAAAAGCTTTGAGGGTGCTTTTCTTTGGTTATGGTGAATTATTGGGATTTCAGTCTTCGATGTCACTAATATGACAATTTTTAATAAAATAAATGTTCTTTGTTGGGATAAAGTCTAGAACGTCCTTTTTCTATCTTCCTGCAGGTACTGAACCTATTTTTGGCCTTGCTCTTGAGCTCATTTAGTGCAGACAACCTTGCCGTGACAGATGATGACAATGAAATGAATAATCTCCAAATTGCTGTAGCAAGAATGCAAAAGGGCATAGATTATGTGAAAAGAAAAGCACGCGAATTCATCCAAAAAGCTTTTGTTAAAAAACAAAAAGCTTTAGATGAAATCAAACCACTTGAAGATTTGAACAACAAAAATAGCTGTATTTCTAACCATACAACTGTGGAACTAAGCAAGGACCATGACTATATTAAAGATGTGAATGGAACAACTAGTGGCATAGGCACAGGTAGCAGTGTGGAAAAATACATAATTGATGAAAGTGATTACATGTCATTCATAAACAACCCAAGCCTCACTGTGACAGTGCCCATTGCTGTGGGTGAATCTGACTTTGAAAATCTAAACACAGAGGAATTTAGTAGTGAATCAGACCTGGAAGAAAGCAAAGAGGTATTTAGATATTTTATGCATTTCTCTCTGATCTTTTGCATAAGCCAGTGTATTCAGTTCTTGATCATTTGTTATTTTGACACTCCTCTGTACATGGGCATAAATGAGTGTATAAAGGAGGGTTTAATTCTTGATGAACAAAAGTGTGAGAAAGGGTTGAAAATTACAGCCTCCAAGAGGAGATAAGAGGCCAGGCAATGGGAGACCAAACAAATCCATAGGAACTGTTTATGGTCCATATGGTAGTTGCAACAACTGGTAGAGCAAGGCATTGCCCTAGCTACAGCCTTATTCCGCCAGAAACTTTTGTTTGCCTCCTGTAACAAGGGTCCCATGAGGAACGTCATACATCTTTCCTCTTCTGCTCAAAAAATCCCTCCATAGATTTTTTTTTTTTTTTTTTTGTGAGCAGGTATAAACCAAAAACATAGTTTATCTATTTCCTTTAGACACTGGAATTCTCTTAGATTTTAAAGTTGTCAGCTCTTCTAGACCTAGATTCCCATAGAAAAGAAGTTTTAACCATAGACTCTTCCATATACTTCAAATTCACTTAGTTGTTAAAACTGAAAAACAGTATCAACAGATGAAAATATCTCATGTTGCTAAGGGAATGCCAAAGCAGGCTATAGATATAAAGCCTTGTCGAGAACTGTATTTTTAAAAAAACATATTAAGGCTGTAACTGTTCCTTTACATGACCTTTTGTCTGTGGCTATTTTAACAAAATAATTTAAACTGAATTGATAACATAATTTGCAAAACAACTACACGTTCAGTGACTTAGTTTGTTGATGTTTTGTCAAATAGGAAAATTATCTTTCCAGACACTTAAGAAAATGAATTTTCTGACTTGAGGAACCTTAACCTTCAACTAGCTAGTTTCCATTCTGGTAGCAATCCAGTTTCTTTGTGGGATAGCTCATCTTCTCCTCCCTGTCCGCCCCCTCCCCCCACCCCACCCCGCACTGCTGTAACAGTACTTCAGACACCTAATTTTAGGTGAGCTGAATTCTGTACTGCTGCCACTTCTGTGTGCGTAAGCCCTCTAGTGTTCTCAACAAAAACCCAGCGTTAAGCTAAGTGCAATCTTTGGATCCTTCTCCAAGAAAGGAGACCTGTACGCCACAGCCTCTCCCCATGGCAACCAATTTCAAAGGCAGTGTTGTTCCCATTTCCCAATTAATATCTGAAGCATTAATATTTCTTTTCCTGTTAAATATTAGCCAAAATGTCTTATAATTTGGCTTTGACTCAAGCTTCTCAACCGCTGCCACAACAGAGGTTATAAGAGTGTACTTGAGCACATTATGAACTTGACCCAGCACAAAGAATTTCTAAATAAAACAACATTTAAACAAAGATCCATTGGAGAAAAACAATGACTGATCATCTACTCTCCCCAGAACTACCTTAATGCTGGCCAGTCCGGTTCAGTCTTCTAACCCATCACAGAGCAGGCAGTCAAATGGAGTGACACAAGTTGGTTTATGACTGACCAATGGGGAAAAGACCATTTAGGACAGTTTTCTGTAAACATGCTGCTACCTGTAGGACCAGGGTAACCTTTCATCCCATTGAGAAAGTACTACAACATCTCTGACTTCCTTCAGAAGCTTATGAAACAGCAGCTCTGTTAAATAGTTTTCTGTGGAAAATCCATCCAGCAGTGCTGTTTTGGATTTGAGTCCAACTCCTTATTTATATTGACTGTTAGTATAATGGGACTGTAGAAAAGAAATTATAAACACCAGAAGAGCAGAGCCTTTGAATTAGCTGAGTTTTTGATGAGAGCCCACTTAGAAAAGACTGTATGGATTCTCTGCTTCTCAGGCCAGAGGGTACTATCAGGCGAGTTCCTGCTGGCTTCAGACCATACTGAGGTTTTCAGCACCATTCCTGGAGTTCTACAGTGCTGGCCAGGATCCTTTTTTGCTGATTGGGTCAGCTCTAAACGTTGGGAGGTTTCTGTCGGGGTTTTGTTTGTTTGTTTGGTTGGTTTGGTTTGGTTTGGTTTTCAGCCGAGTACTCTTTTCTCCCTTAGCAAAGTAACAGATCATCTTAAAATTATAAATTACACTGTTAATTTCAAAAAGCTTAATTTTAGTATGCAAAAAGTAGCTGAAAATAATACTACAGAAAATCTGCTTCGTAGAAGAAAATAGATAAGTAGAATTAAAAGGTTTTTTTCCAAAAATGAAAAAGCTTCGGAAAAGTTTTGAAAATTTTCTATTTTATTTTAAAAAGTGGTAAATCATACTGCAAAAGATGATTTGTGAAAATTGGATTACTAGAAGTATACAGTATTTTTGTAAAAATATGAGAGAGGCAACTCTGTAATGTAATTTGGGAAAAAACCTCTATAAATTGGTTCTTGTGACAAATAATGACAGAGTCAGAAACTAGATACATCAACCCATTTTCCTGGTACAGTTGAGACATTGTTCTTCCAATCTCTATAGTCACCACAAGATTAAATTAACTAAAAACTGGCTACTTAAAATACTACAAATTTTATTAAGTGCCATGCAACTCAATGTCAATGAGTCCTGGAATTGTTACTGGAAAACAGACTGGCTACTGCTTTAGTAAGAGTTTTGTTGTTAGGGTTTGGGGATTTTTTCATCCTCAATATCAAAAAGCCTGCTCCAACCTAGCATTGATGAACCTATATTGCATTTATTCTATTATTTTGTTTACATCCTTCAATATAGTTTCTTCACAGTTTTCACCAGATCTTTAGCCACAATACCAACCAACTAGATTGCAACCACGTCCCAGCTGCATGTTACAATGCTTTGAGAATTTTTAGGATAGGATTGGCTTAAGTGCATTCAGTTTTTTAAAATTCAGGTTCCACCTTCCACTTCTCTCTCTTTATACTCATCATGTTATTGAAAATTTGATTGGTTATAAAACACAACTTGATGTTTTATGGGACATCTTTAATCTACCTCACCCTTATTGTACGCAACTTCTGCTTCACTCTGAGCTAGACTTTCAGCAATTTTAATCTGGATTTGCTGACCTCTAAAGTGTTAGCCTTCCCTGCTGATCCGTGCTTTTTTCCCTCATTCCTCTGAGCTCATTTATACAGTTATAGTTGGGCTCTTACCCACTTTTCAGTAGATGCTACAGATTGCTGCATATGTATTTAAGCTTCATTATTTCTATGTAGGTCAAGAGATCATTGCCACTTATGGCTAGTTGTGGTCATAGCTTAGCATCATCATTCATATATTTTAGTTTAAAGCATAATTTTGTTTAAAGACTTATCTATCACTGATATGCCTTCTAGTTAATGGATCCATACAATGCAGAAGGAAAGCCAAAGATTGTACAAATTACACATATGTTTATCAGCAATTTACTTATGTTGACTACTGGAACATTCAAAAACATGGCAGAATTATTTACTTATTCTGAAAACAACTAATATTTGCCTTAAAAATATTTACTGTGCATTTATGATGCTTTTTTCCCCCCCTTTGCAGAAGTTAAATTTGTCTAGTTCATCTGAAGGTAGCACAGTTGATATCGGACTTCCTGCAGAAGAGCAACCAGAAGCTGAACCTGAAGAAGCCCAGGAGCCAGAGGCCTGTTTCACAGAAGGTGTTTGGAACAAAAATACTAATAATACTTATTCATGAAATATGGAATAATTATCTATTTAAACTAAGTATTAATATTTCTGTATTGAATTAATCTTTTGTTACTGTTTAAACTATTATTATTAGCGGTAGTACTTTTAGACCATAATTTACCATATGGATACCGATACCACAATTACACTATGTATCAGATAAACAATTAAGAAAACTTTTTATTAGAAATTTATCATTATTTTTAAAATAAGAAAACTATATTACTGAAAGTTTTATTTTAGTACAAACTACTGTACTTTCTGAGTTTAGTTACAGTCTCCTAGATAATAAAATAACACACTATTTTTATACCACTCTTCATAGATATTATGAAAGTGCTTTATAAAGTATACATTATTGAAACAGCTGCTGAGTGGTAAATAAAAACTGCATCTGGATGGTTTTGTGCAAAATGCTAAATGAACCTTCTACAAATTGGCAAAAAGAGGAAGAAGAGCCTTTGTGTGCCACCTGGGGCAAGAACAGTCTCACCTGGTGGACTCATTCATCTTTCATGCTTCCTTCTATTGGCCCTTTTACACAACTCAATTAAAGAATCCAGTCATAAACTTTATTTGCAAAGGCGTTTCCTTGTGAGAAACCTTATGGATGTGTGCATGTAAAGGAGGTGGGGAAAGGAATAGGTTTAAAACAGTAATCTAAGGATACAAATGCCATTTTTGGTATCTGTAAGCAAAAGTTAGATTTAGAGTTTGGAAAATAAATGCTACTGTCAGTGCTGGGGTTGGGTTATTTCTGGACACGATAACAGACATTTCTTTAGGAATTTACACTGAACTAGTAAGAAGTAGTACTGTAACAGACTTGGATTTGGCAAAGAGAATACCGTTATTGATTATTAGTATTTTTCTACCTAAATGAAAGAAGAAACAAAATCAAGTCAGCAGTTAAATCATAAAAGCTTAAATAAATCAAGGGCACAAGTTAGAGAAGTTAGCAGTACTGAAAAGCTCAGAACTCGGATAGGAGGCTTAGAATTGTTTCATACAATAGATGCAACATTGTCTGAAATTAGCATCCCAAACAAAAGAAAGTACAATTTAATAACAGTTGCCCATATCTTACTACATAAACCTACTATACATTTGGATGAGCTTGTATATTTTTACTCATACTTTGTATTTTGTAATTTGGCTTCATGTTCCATGGACTTATCTTTTTGTGTGCACTGTATTGAGCACTTAGTTCTTGATAAATGAGAAATACTTTCTTCTCACTTATTCATTTAATTGTAAATTCCAGTTGTCTCAGTGTTAAATTTTTTTGCTTTGGAGAAAAAGAAGGTCATCTTGGTAAAAGCCTATTAGGTTTTTACTAAATAGCACAGCTTCTGGAAAGGTAGCATTGTATCATTAACAGAATGCATAACCAAATGCAATTCAACAAAATCTCTTTTCTCCCACCCCTCCCCCCATTTTAAAGGCTGTGTACGAAGGTTCAAGTGCTGCCAAGTAAGTATAGAAGAAGGGAGAGGAAAGCAGTGGTGGAACCTTAGAAAAACCTGCTTCAAGATTGTTGAACACAACTGGTTTGAGACTTTCATTGTCTTTATGATTCTTCTCAGTAGTGGAGCTCTGGTGAGTAAAACATGAACAGAGTGTTACAATGTTGTCAGAAAACTTCTTAAAAGTTGGCTCTTCAAACATTGTTTTAACTTATTTTTCCCCACCAGAAAGAACACACAGTTCAAATGACAGGACAAAATTTTAGTCAGGCCTTTGAAAGAGTGGTAGAAAAAGTCTCTTCTCAACAATATGCCGAAAATAGAACAGACATAATTGATTAGAGAGAACTTAACACCTTTGCTGAAAGTCATAGTGATATGCCTGAAGCAGGGAGCGGGACAACATGCAAATAAGAGAACACATTTATCTTTGTTATTTTAGTTTGCTCTCTGGTTTTACTGGTGTTTACTGATATAACTCAGGGAAAAGAACTGTCACTGATGAAAAAAGAAGAGTTTGGAAGTAACTGTAATAGCATAAACAGCTCACAATGCCTTGCAAGAGACAGAGCTAGCCATAGCTAGTATTATGGATGTTATGTGCTAGAACAGCAAGAAAGATTAAGACTGATTGTTTGTAATTATTCCCTTCTAAGAATAATAATTTATTATTTATGCTTCTAATTCAGCTTCTACTGACTCATGTAGACTAAGGGGATATATGTAAAAACATGGATTTGCTTTAAGGTTAACGAGTATGTGAGGGCACAATAAAAAGAAGCCAAAAATTATATAAATATATAACAATAAAAGAAAAAAAACCCCAATAATACGTTATTTTACAAATACAAATAATGACAAAGAATGAAGAAATTGGAGATGAACTGTTAAATAAAGGTGAGCCTGGATACATACTGAGATGAAGTTTCTTAGGCAAACTACTTGCCCTGAGATAACGTTGAGTATATCTAGCATCTACTCTGGTAGATGCAATTACCCTTTGGTAAATTACTTAGGTTCCTACATCATAAATCAAAATTGTGTTGCAAAATTGTATTATAAACTCTTTAGATCACTCCCAACACTTTAAAATACTGTGAATGGTTAGCAGTTTATGACTATACCTATCATTAGTTTTGGTTAAATCTTTAAGAAACATTCTGCTTTTGTTTGGTCTAATATCAACACAACCATCAAATAAGCAATTTTTACTCAACACCATGTGACACCTTCCTTGTGATTTAAAACTCTCAAAATAACAAAAGGCTCACATCTACACTGTTGAATTTTGGTTCATGCTACCAAGTGGAGAAAACCTTTAGTGACAAGAATTTAAATGAGAGAAAAGTACTTGCAAGAGACCTGATAAAGGTGAATTTCCATCATTGTATTTACAGGAAGTTTGAGATGAGATCCTACAGTGTTAGCATCTCACGCTTGTGAACCTAAGGTGTGTGTCATGCACGGAACATTTATTTTGTGAAAATGTTTCAGAGACCAGGGATTTGCCCAAGCCTCTGGAGATGTGAGATCCTGCTCTGCCCTCAGCTTCCTTTGTGATAGTGAAACCTGCCAGTACTGTATCCCAATCTTCACCCCAAGGGTACACTCCAGAGGAGTCTCACTGTCATTACAGCCAGGAAATTTGGCAGGCACAGGCACCCTGCAGGCTGCCTATGAACCCCCACCCTAGGGGCATTCAGGCAGGGAGGAGACACGCTTCTAGCTGCCAAGAGCACTGCTAGCTTAGCCTCTAGCGTACTCCCACCTATAAGAAGGAAATGATCTGTGTTGGCTCTTCCCAGTTTTGTGAGATAAAGTTGTTAGTGATTACATATGAGTGTCAGGTACCATAGTGCCTAAGTATCCAAAATTAGTGATACACAGATGTTAATTTGATGATTGATAGACAAACACTAACCATTTGAACTGACAGATGTAAAGTGATTCAAAAGCAGGCTGGGTAAAAATGAATGTTAGTATCAATAAATATCCCAATCTTTGCAAGCTAGCAGATCATTCCAGTTCTTTCAATCCAATAAAATCAATTGTTCTCCAAAAGAAATAATAGCATAATCAAAATTTAAAAGCAATTAAAGGGAAAATTTCTTGGAGGACAGGAAGAATTACTCAAAAGCAGAAGCTACATGTTTTTTCAAATGTCTAAAAATTACAACACACAAAAAGTGTAAATAATATTGCAAGGATCTCAGAAATTTTGTGCATCTCATAAAATGTGAATAATACAGTAAATCAAGTATCTTACTTAGATGAATAAGTATTTTTTTAAGAAAGGAAGAACTTCTTTTATGATCTATTACTTAAAATTTTCAAAAAGCAACAGGACTTAAAAACATAAGATCAAATGTATTGTCACTGTCCTGAAAACTTTACAGCTTTGGCCCTGGATTTTGAACACAGATCTACCTACATACAAACCAAAGGATCTCAGTAGCATTCAGTTCAAGCACATCACTCTGCAGAATCAGTGCTCTTTGTGAGTACCAAAAATGATCTGAGTAATTCACCATCAGCAATAAATAAATAAATAAATAAATAAACAAACAAATATCTCTGACCACTGAAGTGGTTGCTGTGTAATATCTGCTTCTCCCTCCTGTGAGCTGGAAAATATAGTTCCACAGTTGAAAAACAGGTATAGACTGCATTAGCAGAAAAGGAGACATCAGATAGAAGTGACACTCCCATGCCTTTTCTTGAAGAAAGATTGTTTCCTTTTTTGTTGTCGTTTTGTTTTGTTACAACATGATGTATGTGAGATAACAAAAGGGAACAACAAATATCTTTGAATGTGTTTATCCATAGGCTTTTGAAGACATATATATTGAACAGCGCAAAACTATCAAGACCATGCTGGAATATGCTGACAAGGTCTTCACTTACATCTTCATTCTGGAAATGCTGCTGAAATGGGTGGCCTATGGCTATCAAACATACTTTACTAATGCCTGGTGCTGGCTGGACTTCCTGATTGTCGATGTATGTAGTATATTTCCTAGGTGTTACTTTTATATTTATCTGATATTTTTAATTCGTTGCTCTAGTTTACTTTTAAATTTAAAAAGTAAGGTAGATGGAAAAATTTCCTTATTTCTCTGTCTTCCACTTTACACTTACAACACTGCCTTTCTACACCACGGAGTTAAGAAAGACTCAAAGTTCTCCTGCTAGCAAAAAAACCCTCACTTGGTAGCCCCACAAGCAGTTAAAGGGTTTATCCCAGCATGGTTGTTGAAAGAGGTAGTGCTGTCCTCTGTTCTGCCCCTGGTAGCTCATTCTCACCTTCAGACCCGCCTCCCCCCCGATGTAGTTTTAGTCATCCAGCATTTAGATGGGTGTCTGGTCCACCAGACACTCATCTGGATTAAAACTCCTCTGGCAAGAAAACGAACATCCTGTCCACAAATTTCAGCATATGGCTGAATTAGGGTTTTACAAGGAATGCAAGATGTGTCTGTAGCATTGGTGGTGTGGCTTACTTAGCATTAAAAGTCCAATGAATATTACTGAACTTGCAATCTTCACAGCTGTGTTTGAAATCAGGCTCAATAATCCTCCCTGCAAGGGTTATCTAATAGTTATAACTCCACTGTGATGTGCTGTGAAATGGGGGAGACCATTTCTTGATGTATTAATGCAATTATGGAGAATGTAATGTCCTAAGTATGCCCCCTTGAGAAAACCTCCAATGTGCAGAAACACATACTGTTTCAGCAGTCTATGAAGTTCTGTGTGTGAAACTAAAATATTATGTTTTATGTAGTTACAAAACCAAAACTAGTCACTACTTTTTTAAGACAGAAATTTCTGGTAAAACTTATACAAAACCCAAATATTAAACAAGTTAAATTTTAAAATTAAGATGCATTTTGTCTTGGTTTCAATGATGTAGAAACAGACACTGAATAGGCAAAAGGTGAACTTCATAAGCGGTTATTGACCCAAAGAATTGCTAAAAATCCAACAGTTTCTGAATGTGTTCCCAGCATACAAGGGCTAATCAAAGTAGTTCATTTCCTCAAGCTTTGTTTTGTGACTGGTGCCTACAACTTTTTGATTGGTGTACATTATGGATTACACATATCTAGGATTCAACTTCACATATACAGCTTCAGAGAACCACGTTCAAACATGCTATTTGTACAAAGAAAGTACCCTCTCTTTGGAAAACACTTTTGTTCTTTAGTATCTAAATTCTTCTCAATATGGGAACCTAAGTGGCACCTATAACAAAAAAGTTTGGAGAAGCATGCAAGCAGAAACACCAGTTCCTTTTCTAAACTCATTTTCACTAATATTTGACCTTATTTAAATCACAATGTCCCAAACTGCCATCCTGTGAATGTGAAAATCTGAATACTTCTTTGTGTGAAGGTATAACACATATTCAAGTGTCTGAATAAACTCATGATTAAATCCTGGATTTACACACCTGGATGTTTTCTTTAATTTGTCTTCAGATTATGGCAGCTTGAAAGCTTGAAAGTTTTCAGTAGTATGATGAATGTGCTGGAGAAAGAAATTCAGGCTTCAGAAGGACCTAGTTTTGTGGGTTGCTAGAGCTCAGGATTGACACATACAGAAAAGCTATTAACTTTTAAAAGCTAAAGATTTCACATATAAAGCTTTTTTTAAAAAATATGGTTCATAAAGAGCACTGTCCTACAGTCCTCTTTACATGATGCATTGTTCTTTAAAATGAAAGAGTACATGAGACCATTGTGCTATTTTTGGCCCAATAAATAGCTACGGAATTAGAACAGGGTAATGAAGGAGCATTTAGGGGAAATGGGAAGAAAACGGAAGGTATTATTTTGGACAGGAGCCAGAGCAAATGTAGAGAATATGGTATTTCTCACTGAAGTAATGTAGGCATACAGAATACATAAAGACCTGTGGATATGAGACTTTATTACACTTGCTGGCTATGGAACTGTTCTTGTAAGGTCTTTAAGAAACAGCATAATCCAGCTTAATGTCAGCCTGTAGAGCACATAAATTCAGCAGTCAGGCAAAAGGATTAGTCAGTGTAACTGAATATAGAAAAATTAATCCTTTCTACCAATTTCCAGAGCAGCAATGTTGCTCTGTGACCCATCTGTTAATTCAAAACAGGCTTCCATCATTTCCCTTGGTTGTGGGCAATCAAATGGGCATTATCAGCTATAATTACTGATCCCAACAGCACTGTAAAACAAAGAAAAAGTGAGAGCAATACCTAAACTGGTAAAAAGGAAAGATTAATTTAATTTGCTTTTTGTGGTTTTAAATGCCCTTAAGTCACTAGCAAAATATGAAATTCAGAAGTATTAATGTTCCCAGATATTGTTACCTTATATTTTTGTTTGTTTGTTCACCTATCCTACTCTTCTTTCATATTACTACTTTTTTCTTTTTTTTTTTAATTTTTTATTGAAAAGACTTCCTATTCCTGAAGAAAGTGATCCAAAATTAGATTCTTCTAAAGAAGTTTATCTCTCACATCTATGGTACGTAAAGTAGTATGTACAATATAATAATTTTTACTTTCCTGTTTTCATATAGGTCTCTTTGGTTAGCTTAACAGCAAATGCATTGGGTTACTCTGAACTTGGTGCCATTAAGTCCCTTAGGACACTAAGAGCTTTGAGACCTCTAAGAGCTTTGTCACGATTTGAAGGCATGAGGGTAAGACAACATGAAAGAATCTGAAACTATGCATGCATAGAAAGAATCCATGCATGCAGAATAAGGAATGACAAGTCCATGCAGAAAGGCTGCACTATCTTTTTAATCTATTGCACATCTTTACTAACAGATAAGCAAAAAGCTTCATCAATTCACCTAAATCCATATGCAGTACCACATAGAAGTTATGTTCATTAAGGTTACTTTACTTTCTAGCCAATCTCAGGAGTTTTCCATATAAGGCTTTGAAATAACCAACTATGAATTTTCTTAACAGATGCTTAGTAATTAATAAGAGGTAACAAGATTTTATTAATTATTTACTGATAAACATATCACAATATTTATACAGGAATCTAATTTAGCACTTGTTAATAAAGGTATTTTCTGCTACCAGTTGAAATTCTTCCTTTTTCTTCATATTTGATAAACCACCTTTTGTCTAACCCCACTGAATTTTATTAGATGGTATTAGAGATATATTCATACCCGCTAGTGGTTTAAATCTATTTCTGAGTTTGGCTGACTTTAAAAACAAATCAAGTGTTTTGATTTCTCTTTGAAATTATTCTTTTTGTAAGGTAAATGTTTTTCTTATTTCAACAAATCGTTATTCAATATTCAATACATTGTATATAACATTATTTCTTACTTATTCTGAGTAATTTAGAGGCCCTGCTTACTATTCATCTCACTCAAGAAAGCATTTTAACTTATTTTTTTAATTTGTTTATACCTTCTGTTCCGTAAAGCCACTGAATACAAACTAACTCTATATGCATGTCATTGAAATATGTTTTAAGGGAATGCTTTTTGCTACTTCATGGAAACATAAGAGGAAACAATGCGCTAATGAATTTCAAGTCAATTATAAACCAGTGGAATATACTGTCTGAACAACCTTCAGATACAAATCTAAGCTTAATCAAGTCAAATTGAGGCTTAGAATTCTGTTCCTTAAATTGTATTCATCAGGCTACATATCTCTACTTCAGAATGCATCAAAAAAAAAAATATTGCTAACCAATGATTACTAGATTAATAAATTTCAGTTTTGTATAGCAAATTTACTTTCAGCAGTTTTCTCATCATTTGAAATTCATGAATTGATATTCAGCAGGGTAAGAGCTGGTCAAGTACTACAGAATGTATGAATTTTCATTTAAGTTTGGAATGACTATTTGATTTAGCAATTTTCTCTTTGTCTTTCTTTGTACTTACTGTTCATGAACATTCAGATAAATGTGGTTTTGTGCAGAGAAATGTCGGGAAATTGCTGTCAGCTTTACTTTTTAAATAATGTTCTGGTCAGCTGCAGGAGGACTGGGAGACTGGTATAGAAGTTGCACAGAGACAAGAAATGCAGCTCTTTAGATGACGTTGGAAAAAAGAGATCATTTCTAGAAAGATAATGTCAAAATTAATTGCCAAATGTTTTATTCCATCTTTCTGTATCCTTACATGATTGCCTCAGTAAATTTTCCACTTAAAAGATTTAGGATATTCATACTCAAAGAAAAGTACCTGTTATTTGAAATCTATTTACTGCTTTCCCTTATTTCTCACTGAATAACTACGAAACTATGCCAGAAGCCCAATCATATGATAGAATTTCAGATGTACAACATGAATAATTCATGAGCAACTTACTGTGTAGCAATCACAGACAAGCCTGGAAAAGTAAAAAAGGTTTCAGCTCTGTCCTCCAATATTAATGATAATCAGTGAAGTACCTGATTGCAGTCATTTAGCAAATTTGACTGGCCAACTCTATAGGCCTCATCTTTACTATTAGTTACATTTACTTCTGAAAATGTTTTTTCCAAAGCACTTGGCAAGTATTCACAACAGCTCATTGACAGATAGTAGCATTACTTTATGAATGACTCACGAACAGTAAAAAGATTCAAATAACAAATAATTGACCAGCTCATGATAAGACTATAGTCAAATTACAGTCTTCTCAGAAACTGAGTTCATTTCATAAAAATCTATAAAACCAGATTCTTTTATCTGCCAACAGAAAGTAAAAATAAATCAACCCTCTTTGCTTTCTTTTATTGCCTATACCTACACTGAGCTGTGACAAAACAAGCTGAGTTTTTATTCAGCATGTATTTACAATTTTAATGTTTACCCCATGTCCAAAACTGTGCAAATTTGGCCATGAAAGTATAAGAGGTCATATGTGTTCCAGAAAAGTCCCTATATGTAAAAAGCTCTGCATCATTTTGTAAAACAATCTGCTAAGTTCTCAGCTACTTTAAATCAATCTTTTTCTTAAATAAGTTTACCATTCTGGAGAATTGGAAGAATACAGCATTTTACATAGTCAGTAAATACTAACAACAATGATGTTATCCCTAAATATGAAACATACTTCACTTTTTTTAGTTATATTCTTCTGTTTACAGTTATACTCTGTAGTTACAACTTAATTTTGTAATTATGCTGTTTCATAAATGGGATAAATTCTCTTTCCAAAGCGAATATAAGATATATGAATCAGTTGCACCAAAAATAGGGTACAAGAGGTCCATAGCCTGTGCTTGCCTTGAGCACAGAAATTAATGTTGCCATATTAAAGGCATTTAAAATATCTGCTAGTATAATGAATTCTGAGAAATTTTAATACTTTCTATAGTGAATCTCAAAACCAACTCCACCCAGTTGCTGGAAGGCAAAGTAAAGAATTGCTTTAATTTAATTTAAATTTCTGTCTTAGGGTTTATATTCTCATCTCAATTAGTGTATATACTGAGCAGAAGTATCTGCAAACTGAGATTTGAATATATGCATTGCTTTTTGTTTAGCTTTTTAGTACTTGCAATATAATGCTTTTGCGCTAGTTCTGGATTGGTATGCTACTTGTAAATGTAGAATACTGAGTATACATTGCTTTGCTGAGTTAGAGAATTAAGTGACAATAGAGCATGCATTTGTGTCTAATTTCACAAAATAAAGCATGTCATGCCGTGCTTGATTTATTTATTAGAGAAATAGTAGAAGGCAGCAAACAATCTGAAATCCACTTGCACTTTCAGTTTTGCATGCCTTATGCATATTTCTGGCTGATGGCTTTAAACATTTACTGTATTTCAAATTTCCAGTCCAATTTTATAACTTGCAAAACTAAATTAGAGTATTTGATGTCTTAAATATTCTCTAAAATTCAATGGCAATTCCTTAGATTCCCTTTACCAGGAAAGCGATAATGAGGCATTTTCAAGAGTACTCCAAACCTCAGTAGGACAGAAACATTTCTCATATGATTGACTTATAAAACATAACATCAAGTGTCTGTCATTACAGATTCACAACTAATTACAGGCTATATATTTCTATTTCATATAGGATAACCTTTCTTCAGCTTGGATGGGGTGGACCCCTGGTTCCTCCCCTTATCTGTATTATGGGTACAGTATTTCCCCCTTTCCTACCCTTAATGATTACAGTGTGACTAATCACTACGTTGTGTATTTAGGGTTAGAAGGAGAGACAATCTTATTTGAAAATCCCAGCAGGAGCAAAAGTAGATGATATATATTCACCCTACACCCCCTTCTTAATTGCTTTAAATCTTTGGAAATAATCCTTTGAAATTTCTGATGTTACAGAATTAACATGAAAACTTTTGAGAAAATCAGTATTATTATTTAGAATTATCTGAGTTCTTTTTGCAGGAGAAGGGTACCTCAGCTATTTTTAGATTTTTAGGTGCTTTTTTAACTGAAAAAAAATATGTCTTTCTTTAAAAATTTGAATCTGGCTTTTGTATTGTTTTGGAAAGATCTGTGCTTTACTGTTACTCAATTTATAGCTACGTACCTTCAAAAATATCCCATAGAAAGTTTTAAACGCACTTGGAATATATTAAGCACACACCAAAACACTATGATCTGAATAGTCACAACTATATACATTTATGTAACTGCAGTTTAAATTTTTGCATAATTTTTAAACCCTTATATTTTACATTAAGTACCTTTATGTGTTACATTAAGTAAATCACTCCAAGTGTATATAGATAACATGAGACATGACATAACATATAATTCTTTTCTGGAATCTGAATTCAGTCTTCTTTAGCCTGTGTTGGAAACTACTTTTTGTAATTTTTATAAAATGCCAATAACAGTATTATTTTTGTAGCATCTTTCTTGGGGTTTAGAAATATCCTGCAGGAGACATGTCAGTGATATAAAAAATTTGCATTCACTATCAGATCCTCAGAAAAATCCAGTTCTTAGACTACAACCCTTGCAAGCACCAACTGTAGGAGGGTATCATTAGTGCAGAGGTTTTTCATAGCTTCAGTGTAAATGATGTATCAACATAAACAGCATTCACTGTAAATTTAGCATCTTATCTCACAGTTAAGCATTATTTATTCACTCTCAGGAAAGTGTATTCACTATCTTCTGCAAGTTTCTCTTAAATATAGAGGAATATATTTTGTTGATTGAGATTATGCACTTCAAAGGATTTTTTGAGGTCTGTGGTCTTATTCATTACCTTTGAGTCTTAAGAAAAGTCTATTAGTAAAGTGTTATGTCTCCTGAAAGACAATTAAAAATTTACAAACTTCAATGTAAGAAGACTCTCTGGGTAGATTTTCATAAATCATACAGGAAATATCTTAGTATTCTGAGATTTTTCTTAGACTGTAATTCTACAGTTAGAACTTTTCAAGGCGTTTCTTATATAATTGAAACTGATATGATTTTTGTCTGGATTTGTGTTTGTTGTATCTTGAAGAAAATCCTTGCTTTTAGGATCAAAATTTAATGAAATTTGAATGAGATACATAATATAGTTTACATTTTAATTAAAAATGTTAAAGAACACATAAAGGTCAATAAAATTTCATTTATGCAACAGGAAGAGCAAAAAGGGTTTTTTTTTCACTGCATCCAGTGAAATTCGAAGATACTGTTCCCGCATCAAATAATTACTCTGTTTTCATGCTTGTGTGTATTTACAATATTTACCAGGTCTTC